AGAGAGAGAGAAAGAAAGAGAGAGAGAGAGAGAGAGAGAGAGAGAGAGAGAGAGAGAGAGAGAGAGAGAGGAAGGGAGAGAGAGAAAGAAGCAAACGACGGACGGGAAAGAAATTCCGCGATAAAAGCCGTAGCAGTGCGTCCATTACATTGTGAAGCGAGGAATTTATCAGAATTCGCAGAGACGCGGCGACAAGACTTGTGCATTGCGTTGACCAACGCGTTCACCGCTGCCGCTGAAAGTTAAACGAGAAGCCCGTGGAAAACGACGGCGAGAGAAAAAGGAGGAGGAAAAAAACGGTCAAAACGTGCGTCAAGTACCTGATCGCGAGGGATGTTTTATTTTTTTTCTTTCTTTTGTGGCGAAACCACGAAGGACGGTCGAGCGAAGTCCGGTGGGACGAAAGTGAATTGCGTGCGACCCGGCGGTAATCAACGGACGAGAGACATCCACGACGACGACGAGTGGTGTGCCAAAACTCCAGGCGAACATTTCACGCGCGAAATTAACGAGGGAAATGATATCGCGCGGAGTGTATTTTATTCGGCGCGATGTGAATCACGCCGCGTGCCATTTCCGTGCGGACGCTGCGTAATTAAAGCGCCGCCGGGCGTGGTGTCGGTGTTGATGCTAGGTGGTGATAGTGATGGTGGTGCAAAATTAAGCGATACGCCGTCGTGTCTGCGGCATTGATCTTTTGTGCCCGCGGGATGCGTGGGCGCGATGCATCTTCTTCGCATCGCGAGTCGCCGTTCGATCAGACCCGAGTGAACCGTGCCTGCCGGTATGTCGCTCGATACCGAGACGGGGAATTGAATTTCGAGGAGGTCTACATTTCCTGCGTGCGTTCTGTTAAAAAATACGCAACGAGGGCGTATTCGCGGGATTCGATATCCCGCGAGGAACCCGTTCGACTTGCGCGAATCCGACGAATCCACGATAATAATATTCCATCGTATCCTGAGAAATCGGTGTTAGGCATTAATCGATTAAGAGCTCTTTTTCCGACCAACATAATCGCCAAATCAATCATTAAAATTAATCAGTTGTCGTTCAATAAGTGAGTCAATAATTGTTACTGCTGTTAAAATATCTTTAAAGCAAAAAAACAAAAGTGAGATCTTCATCTTCAACTGCTTTTCTAGATGACAATCACAAATGATTTCACCGAGTGACGAAATGCATTATTAATCGAACTTTGACATGATTAATTATACACTGATTAATAATTAATTATTCGTGACTACATATATGACAATTTTAAGGAATTTTAATAATTGATTAGTCAGTAATTTTAATCCGAGTGAATTTTCCTCGATTAATGCCCGACATAGGTGAGAAACAAACCGCTGGCTCTTCCAAAATAGGTTTCGCGTTTCCAGAATAAGTGCTGCATCCCAGAAAGATATCTCTCTCGGGAAATCGATAATTAAATTCGCCAACCGGTCCGTTCTTGGTTCGATGGTAATATTATTTCGCTCATTTGCATACGCAGGTGCCACCACAAAGGACACTCCACAACGCGAGCTCTCTTTCAGCGGAGACACCGATCTCGCCGCTATGCCCGGCAATTTCGCGAAGCGAACGCTGAAATAAATTCGGAGAAACGTCTCTCTACCCTACTTTCATACCCTCGCATACATCCCGCAAAGCAGATTGCGAACGTGCTGAAGCGTCCGACTGTGCATAAAAATTCCACCTGCGTGGTTAGTCGGAAAAACGGGAAACATTGGCGCTCATTCGGCCGCCACTGCGTTCAACTTCATTTCCTGGCCCCGAAGAAGTGATCTATGAGTCCACGCCGAATTCCACGCTCGTGGATTTCTTGAACCGCTGTTTCCCGACAACTCGCTTGCGCAAAAACATCCCGGCGAGTATAACCGTCACGTCGGATGCGGATTCGCTACCGAGCCAGATGACGAGCGCGCGCTCGAGAGACTCCCCGCGTGCAAACGCAGATCACGTCCAATCGCGATCGAATTTTGCATGACGCGTCAGTCCGTGAGCTTTTTATGTTTCATCCTTTCGCGCACACGATAATATCTCTCTCTCGCGCGCGCTCGCGTGTCTGGAGCGCGTCGTGCGTTCTTGCCGCGCGGAACGGCGATGAAATTGGAAGCAGCGGAAGTGGCGGGGAAAATCGCCGGTGGAATAGGTATCACTTGGCGGGTTGCGGGAGAATTTCCTTTCCGTAGCGAGATGAGAAACAAACGAAAGAGGGACGAGGAGAGACTCCAGGGGAAACGAGAGGAGTCGGCGGAATTCGCGCAGAGAACGCGCCGAGTTAAGTGGAGGCGGTCCGAGACTCCTCCAATGTCGGTTCACCACTATTTGGAAATAATTTAGACTGACGCAGAGATGGGGAGGAGGAGAAAAGGAGGTTCGTTTCGACCAATATAAACATGTCGCGGTGGGCGAGATGCATCGCGTGTGCACACAACGCCGGTTGGCCAACTGGTTGGCTACTAGTTGGCTGGCTCTGCAGGATGGCTCTGTCATCGTTCAGAGGTAATTTAAGCGCGCGTTCAACCTTGTTGGGCGTAACGAGAGATATACTACGGCGCGAGAGGAAGTACGTTACGGCAAATACTGCATGTCATAATAAAATTTCGAAATACACGTAGGCGTCGGGATATTTACCGCAGCCGCGTTCGCTCGTTCGACGCCAACGTCGGTCTGTCCTGTCTGGTGCGGAGAGACATCCCTCCAACGCGTCCGGAGAATAAAATCGTTCGGGAAGCAATAGTCTGCACGATAAAGCGAGAATACGACCGGCGGCGACTTCGATGGCGGGACTTTCTCGCCGGCGATGCCTCCCCGTATTTTTCACTTGTAACTGTAGTACGTAGAGGGCTATGTACAACTGACGTCGTAAATTCCGCGCCGGATGATCCACGAGGGGTTACATGGAAAAGTTTCTCGTACGCAGCGTTCGTCATACACAACGATATCGCGCAAAGTCGCGTCGCGAATTATCCACCTTCAGCTTTGTCACGCCAGTTGTAAATCATCCCCGGCTTTGGCAAGCCCGAGGGTATCTCCTCGTTCTCGCGACCAACGTAATGCGGATAACGTACCGGTCTGGGTGTGTAACGCGACGTCGCGTCGCGTCGCGAGCTACCCTTCGTATCGGATCCAAGGCTCGGGAGGATGACCCGGAGAGGATGAATGAAAAAGAAAGAAACCGTTCAGTCAGCGAAGGGGAGGAGGGCAGACAGGACGAGCATTCGACGGGATGGGATCGTCGATCTCACGTGTCGCGAATAAAAAATAGTCGGCGTAGCCTTGGCGTGTGCGCGCGGGACGCATCGTGCCGGAATTTTTGGACGAAATGGTACCGGTCGCTCTGGTGGATGGGGTCATCCATGGTGGGGGTTGCTCTTTGGGTGGGCGTTGCTGGGTCGATACAGGGTGGCTTCGCCGACGAAAGCACCCACAGGGTGAACGAGCACTCTCTGTCTACCCTTCGGCTCCTCTTTCGGCGATTATGCCGCGCGACTCCTCCTGGCGAATTAGCTTGTCCTTTAGAGGCATTTCTCTTATTCATCGCACGTCAGGCGACACTTATCGAGGGAGGGCTACGAACCGAAAGTCGCCCTGTCACGTTATTAATTGCCTCTCTTTCTTAGGACATGTCGCGGGCTTTCGTTGTAATGAGAAATTGATGAAGGTGTCGGGCTCCGAAAGTTAAACCGTCGACACCTCATTTACTTTGGTGAAAGGCAGAGGGTGCGTGGCGTCTCGCGCGAAGGAGGAGGAATTTAATATGCAGAGAGGAGAATAGATTGAAATCAAATAAATTCCAAAGAGATATCCCAGGGAGAGACCAATCCGAGCCGCGTGTTGATCTCGAGCGGATCAATAGAGCCTATTGATATTCGTTATTTGAATACGATCAATTATTCGTTCTCTAGTTATAGAGTTTTCGTAATCAGATGCACGATATCCGTCGATATCGAACTTTTATTTTTCGCCGATTGCCGATTCGGATGCGTATTGATTAATTTATGACATCCGACTGGAGCGAGTTTAGAGTCGCGAAAATAATGTATTAGCGTTTCGAATTACGATCCATCAATTCTCGTGGGAGCCGCGCAGCGATACACGCGAGTCACAGACGTTACGTTTCATCGCGGCGAATAAGAGGCACGGGAATGCAGTCCATGGAAATATTGGAAACTGCGGGAATAAATATAAAACGATTATACCGTTCGAGTTGCCGCGTACGAGCGTTTCGAATCGATGGAACGCCCGAACCACCGCGCGTAATGCGACGCGCGCTAGGGCTGTCCGATAATTATTGTCCGAAATTTATTAGGATGCAAATGGGAGCGCGCGCGCGCTCACATGAGCTGCAGCTTGTATCACCGCGCGTGCGGCGCGTGCGAAATTGGCATCGATGCAAATTGCTTGCGTGTACTTCGCTGCCGTGGTTAACGACTCTTCCGGTCGGTAGGTCCGGTCGGCCTCTCTAACGAGAGCCGTTCGTTCACACCCCGGCGCATTCCACACGCCGCTGATAAAGAAGCAGCTGCGCCGCGGCAGATAGAGACACCCGACCGGAAATAGTCCGATAAATCAGAGCCCGACATTATTGGAGCGTCTCGCTTCCATTCTAATTGCTACCGTCGAGAAGGCCCCGTATGCTAACTCGCAATTACCAAAGCGTCACGAAACGCAAACGAGATGCATGCCTCGGGTTTGCATATCGGGAGGAGGATTGCGCGCACACACACAGACAACATACGGCACACACGACGCGACGCGATCCGTCGGATTCACGTCGTTTCGATGCTACGCTCGTCGAGATCCCGTCCGATCGAAGGACCACGGCGGAGGAAAAAGTCAGCATGGTAAGTGAAGTGAGGTAAGTGAAAGAACGATGGATAATTAGCGCTGACCGAAAGAACGACGTTACCTGCACGC